GACGGGCAGTAAGAGAGGACTATTCAAGTGTTAGAAGACATGTTGAGGGCATGTGTGATTAATTTTGGAGGACATTGGGATAAGTTCTTACCTTTGTGTGAATTCTCTTATAATAATAGTTATCACTCCAGCATTGATATGGCACTGTTTGAGGAATTATATGGGAGGGGATGTAGATCACTCATAGAATGGTTCGAGGCTGGAGATGTGAAACCTTTGGGGGTTGATTAAGTGAAAGATGCTCAAGATAAAGTGAGGAGTATTCAAGCTAATCTCTTAGCAGCCCAGAGTAGACAGAAGAAGTATGCGGATCATAAGGTAAGGGACATGGAATTTCAAACATGTGAGAATGTTCTTCTTAAGGTATCACCCATGAAAGGAGTGATGAGGTTTGGCAAGAAAGGTAAGCTAAGTCTGTGATACATTGGTCCCTTTGAGGTTCTTGAATGTGTAGGGCATGTGGCTTATAGATTGGCTTTACCTCCCAACCTATTGGGAGTTCATCCGGTATTTGTGTCCATTTTGAAGAGATATCATCGTGACGGAGATTATATCATTAAGTGGGACTCAATTGTGTTAGACAAAGACCTCCAATATGATGAGAAACTGATTGCAATTCTTGATCGTGATGTGTGTAAGCTGAGGACCAAGGATATTAAGTCCGTGAAAGTTCAATGGTAGCATCGTCCTGTTGAAGAAGCTACTTGGGAAACCGAGATGCACATGCGAGACAAATATCCCCAATTGTTCACCGATTCAGGTTCTACTCCATTCTTTCCTTAGTCTATTTTTCCTAAGTTGCCACTCGGGGAAGAGTGATGGGTAAATTGGTATCTATTGTAACGACATGTTCCCGTCGTTATAGAAAAGCGAATAGGGAAAAATTTTGAGCTGAAAAACTTTTTCGTGGTAACATGGGATTTCCCAACCTAGTACAGATTTGGACGAAATAGGAGTCTGTGAGGTCTGGGGAAATCTGGTAGCAATTGGGTGATCTAATTATGATTTTGATCACATGAGTAGATAGATAAGTCATTAAGGAACCCGTATGACTTTACAGAATTGAATTCGGGCGATTAGAAATCCCAGAATTGAACTTAGCGTGAAAGGGTAGTTTCTGAGTGTCGTTGGTTGAAGGTGTGTTGTAAAATGGGGGTATTGGAATTTTTAAAATAGCTCACTATTTCATGCAAGCCACTTTGGCGGTGATTTATGTCGCAAGGGCGGGGCCGCTGCAGCGGGGTAAGGACCATTGTGGCGGGTCCGACGCGACTTAAGTTGGAAATAAACCCCAAAACATCTTTATTCTGCACTTTTCGATTTTTAGAGTAAGGAGACGAACCCCGGGTGATTCTTGACAGTTTTCCACCATTCTTAAGGCTAAAGGTAAGATTTTAACTCTCCAAATCCATTTTTTGATCCGTAGAACGTAATCTAATGGATAATTATCTATGGGGGAAGGTTTTGATGTGGAATTTATGGTGGAAAAAGCCCTAATTTGGGAAGTGGGATCATCGGTATGATCTAGGGTTGTTAGAATTGTTAGTAATCCGGGTAATTAGTGATTTTTTATTGATTTCCTTATTATATTGATTGTTTGTAGACCAAAAACAAGCAGAACGAATTCGGAAAGGGAAGAATCAAGTTTCTTAGGGTTTCAAGCTTGTTTCGAGGTGGGTGATGGTTGTGATTCTATGATTGTGTGATGTATGTTTATTCTTGCTTCATTATGATACATGTTTGTTTGCGAATGTTGCATTATTGATCACATTAATTGTAAATGAGGAAATATGAATGATGAATGCCATGAATCATGACTTGATTGTATGATTATAAGAATGTACGTTGTGAATGTGATTGTGGCACGATGAATGGATTGGGTGCTGCGTTCCGACAAACTAACTTGGATCGATTGCCACGTTCCGCCATAATTATGGGATCGGTTGCCACGTTCCGGCATAATCTTTGGATCGGGTACCACGTTCCGATATGCTAACAGTTTGGGTTTGGGTTCTATAAAAAGACCAATGATTTGATATAATTGTGTGTCTTGAGAAATGTGAAACTGTACCTTGTTCGTAAATGTTGATCATATTGTATATGTTCGATATATGCATGTGATTATATTGTTCTAATGGCTTATATATGTTGCACTTAGTGGGATAGCCGTGTGATCCTACCAGTACATTATGGTTGTGTAATGATACTGCACTTGCTCTTTCTTTGTTGAGTACAGGGCATCTTCAAGCGGCTATTGACAGACCTCGTTAAGAAGATCAGTGATCATCGTTCGAATTCAAGGGTGAGCTAGTTCTTCCAGGCTGCCATGAGTTCTCCTTTCGTCTATGTCCACATTTTGGACTTAGACTTCTCTAGTTAGTTCATTAGTTCATTAGTTTGGGGTTGTATCCCTTCTTGTTTAGGCTTATGGTTGATCTTTAGATGTTTTGGTACATTGACTTTCAGGTTCTAGGTGTTACTTCCGCATTTGTTTTAGTTGTTAGACTTTTGTTTGGAGTTTATGGGAACTCCATATTTCTTTCCTTAGTATTTAACTTGCTTCTGTAACTTAAATGCTTTAGTTTTTGATTAGTTGTTGGGTTTGGATTGTAGTAATGGTTCTCCCACTGGAAGGTTAGTGTGGGTGCCAATCACGATGTTCTGGGTCGTGACAGCTCTGCTCCACTTTTCAAAACCAACATCATGCTCAAGGACAAAGGCTGCCTCGAGGGATTTGTCCTTGAATTCCAAAAAATGATCGTTGAACTCCTCCAAAGAATATGCCATTACCACGTTGTAGTATAGATAGAGGGAATCTCCACATTGGTGATTTACCCAAAGATTTTCACCGAGGTGCCTCATGCAATATCCTTGATGAGCATGATTTTAAACCTTTGCAATACCGTTGGCAATGTTCGTGTGTCTATCGAAAATAAAACATAAATCTGATTCATCGACCATAATATCCTTCAACTTTTCAAAGAAGAATGTCCAAGATGCATCGTTCTCTTTGTCCACAACACAAAAGGCAATTGGATAAACATGATTCTCTGTATCTTGTGCAACAACACTCAACAATGCTCCCTCGTATTTACCATGTAAATGAGTGTCGTCGACCGTTATTACCTTTCTCATGTGGGAAAATCCCCTAATGCAAGCACCAAAATCTAAGAAGTAATACATAAATCTATGAGTATCCCTGCTTACCATGATACAATAGCTAGAACCAAAGTTAAGAGTGTCGAACATATATGAAAAAGCCGGTTAGCATGAATATCCGTGCTCCGCTGTCCCTCGAACCATTTCCTTGGCAGTCACACCTCCCTTCCAACATTTCCAATAGCTTGGACTACAATGAAAAATATTTAAAAAATTCCTCTGAATCTTTTTAACATTTGGACCCTTGCCATCACGATAAAGATTTACACAAAGGGACGCAAAGACTTTGGTCGACAATTTTCTATTACTGTTGATGGCATGTTCAACACCGCAACTATGATTGTCAATATACTTATAGATACGAAATCTATCCTAACACTCATATTTCTTTGCCCGCAGCATCAACCCACAAATACGAGATACACATTTCACCTCTAAGTATTTAATACAACTCTTTACTGTAGCAAAATCAAAAGTTTTTCTCATCGCTCCTTCAGCTAATAACAATTGTAGCTCACTCTTGGTACTGAATGTTTGATACATGTAAAAATTAGTTCCATCAGAGAAAGAATGGTTGGGTTGTGATCTCAATTTCGGCTCTCCCTAATCTTCTTCAAAATGTTCGAAATCTTCCGCATCTACTGGCTGATCTTCAACTTCCAATGAATGACCATTCCCATTCATTGAATCATCACCCAAATTGTCATTTGACTGATCACAAAAGCTCTCATTTGGTTGATCACCTAAGTTCTCATTTCCAACCAAGTCGTTCTCGTTAAAAGAATCTGTTGGTTCAATCGGAGACCTCACAATGACATTTATCCTCAATATAGGCCTAGAGCCATCAACAACAATATACATCATGTACAAGCTCACATGCCTATCATTCTTTATTAATGTGAGATATATTTTTCCCCTCTAATTCATTTGATAGCTTATCATCAAGTTGCATGGCTCGCAGGCTAGCTCACCGGCCTCAATTACGCTTGCAATCATATCGTCATATGAACCATTGCGACACAACGCAATGGGAACAATAGTCTTACTAAAAGATTTCCAATACCAGCTTTTGGGAGTCTCCTCCCATACTTTCATATAGTCACCACCAACAACAACAAATTCAGCTACTTCCATATATACACTACACTGATAAATACTAGATTACAATATCGATAATTAGCGGTCGATGACTGGTATAGAATCCATACAAAACGCGAATGAATAAGAATGGGTTTAGATCAAGCTCGAAATGGAGAACATGTATATATAGTCCTTCTAAACAACTAAAGTTTATCTAAAAATGAGTTATGAAGTGATTTTGGAAGGTTTTTGCAATATTAAAAAATGGCAGGAATTTTTTTTTCTTTGAAGCTATTTGAAAGAAAATGGTGTAAAATGGAATCAATGACTAGAATGATGATGATTTCACCTGTGAAAGCTAAAATATCATCGGAAAAGTCATCAGAATCAGCTAAATCAGCTGCAAAAAAATGGGAGCATTTTGGTTTCTTCTTGGAGAGCTTTTCTCCAGTCAAATTTTTCAATAAATGGAAAAATAAAAAACAATTTCACATTTGTGTTGGATGAGTGGGGACCAAAGTGTAGTATCAAAAACTTGAGAGTAGGGTGTTGTATGTTTTGAAAGAATATTGAGTGATATCATATATGGTATCTAAAGTACTAATTTTTTAAGACTTTTCTCTAAATGTTCAACTAAGTTTGCAGAGTAGCTATTTTGCCAACTCTCCCAAGAAAGCATCCACCAAAAAGATGTTTCACAAGAAATTATTTTGGGAGAATTTAAATTATTTATTTATTGTTGTATCCTCATAAATCAAGGATTATGATAAACCGGTGACTATATGAAGCACTGAAACATCTGCTTCTACAATGGAGCAATCTCCGACAATGAAGCTTTTCTTTGGATCCTTCAATTCACTTAGGGGCAAAAATTCCGCCCATCCCCAACAAAAATTAGGAGCTGCAAACCAATATCCTACAGAAGCTGTATGAGAAAAACGCATCAAATTACACATAGGAAATTCGAAATAGAAACAAACAGTATTGATGTGTGTAAGAAAGGATCATAAAACTGCTTCTACAGTTTATGCTGGAAAAAAAAACATAATTACATTAAATGCAAACGTAGGAACTAGAATTTGTTCGAAAAATTAAGGAACAAGAGAACATACTAGTTAACTTGCGGTCGACATCACCAAACTGGTCTTTGATAGATATGCTAAATGTTGTATGCACCTTTTTTCGGGAATCAAATCCATTAGCATGAAATAATTCAAGAAAGATGGAAATGTTTTGGCCATTTTCATTAGCGTCACATGTAGGATATAGACGAAGTTTCCTGCATACAAACACGACAAGTTTTACATACACAACTCAAGAGAATCATTTCCTAAAGAAAGTATAAATGTATATAACGAATAAAAAGGTTATGAATAATATACCATTTGTAACCCCCAATAGTAAACTCTTGAGAATACACTATGTTCTTCAGTTTTGTGAATTCAGAAATCTTCCATTCGTGCTTATAAGACTTGGTCTCATTAAACAGGGGGGACAAACATTCACCTACACCGTGGTTCTTGATGATATATACATCGACCCCAAAGACGCATTTGTCATTAACAAGGTTACCGTTAGAGGGCTCTCTGAATGTTTTTGATAAATACATTTTGGTGTCATCATATTTTTTTGGTCAAGAATCTTAGTCCTTTCTTTTACAACTTTATAAAATGGTATTTTATATCTTACATATTGCTTTCAAAATTTTCACTTATATGAGATTTGATTATTTCATTGCAAGTGCTTATTTTTTTTGTTGAACGGAAAAAATTTAGAAAATTTTGTTATAAAAGAAAATATCAAACTTGTATATATAGTAGAGCTACAAATTAACTAGGTGAAGCCATCTCTTCTTTTTGGCCAAGAATCTCAATCTTTTTTTACAACTTTATAAAATAATATTTTATACCTTATATATTGCTTACAGAGTTATAACTTATATGATATTTGATTATTTTATAGCAAATGCTATTTTTGTTGAATGGAAAAAGTTCATCTTTCTCATGACATTTGATAAATGGATAGAATTTTATTTACATGTAAGTTGTACTTTTTATTACTTGAATTCTATTTTAAGAGCTTGACAAGAAATTCAAGTAATGCAAATTTTATATCAAAAGCTTAGTGTGAAATGTCTAAAAAGTCTTTTTTTTTTAATTTCCTTTAATTTAAAATTTAATGGTCTTTATTTTCATTACTCTCGTGACCTTTTATTATTATAACATCTAAAATAATTAATAGTCATATTCTTGATATTATTTGGTATTATATATTGTAGTCCTATGAATAGAAATATTATAAAACTTTGTTGAAATGAGCACACGAACATTTTAAGTTGTAATATTTTCAGGCTATTTAATGGTGATTTAGGCTTGTGGAAGTGGATATCGACAAGAGCTCGGAAGATTGTACATTGATTTCATATTTTGTTTAAATGTTTTAATGATTAAATCGTAAGAATGATATTGTATTATTTATTTATTTAGTTCTCTCATCTCTTTATTTTGTATTTTATATAAAGTTTTGATTCTTGTAAGTTTAAAATTTTGTTTGGTTCAAGATAGTAACTTATGACTTTGTAGGACATAATTATCTCTTTCTCTTTTATTTTATTTTTACTTTTACTTCTTTAAAAAGGTCTAAATAATTTTTGTTCCCTATGAATTTTCAATTACATATCCTTCACTACAAGTTTTAAATAACACTAAAATTTACACAATAATATCTCTAGTCTCTTGAGTTTTTCATCTCTACTATAATCTTTGGCTAAAAATTCTATTTATTTTCTTATATATATATATATATATTTTACTATCTTTCTATTTTTTTTAATCAAAAATAAAAAATATATCAATTAATCGTTCTTTCATATTCTTTAATGAAAAACTTAATGGTCATTATTTTCATTGCTCCCATAATTTTTATTATCATATCCTATAAAATAATTAATAGTCATATTCATGAAATTATTTGTTATTCATATTATAGTCCTATAAATAGAACCATTTTAAGACTTTGGGGAAACGATTACATTAGTCTTTTAAATTGTTATGTTGTCAATACTTATTTTATTCATTCTTTAGTTTTACTTGAAAAATAAAATGAATCATATTGAATGATGATCAACTTGTGGGAATGGGTGATCACCTTGTGGGAATGGATGTCGACAAGAGCTCGAAAGATTGTTTATTATTGATTAAGTTGTAGGAATAATGTTGCTTTTTTTTTGTAGTTCTCTTTATGATTTCTCTTTGTTCTGTATTTTATATAAATTCTTTATTGTTGCAAGTTTATATCTTAATTATGATAATCTGTGCGACCTTACAAATTAAAGATTCTATAAAATATAATGAGGAAGCATCGAAAATATGTTGTCTAAACAATGAACATTATAGTTTGAACAAGAAAAACAAAGCTTTGGAAAGTTCAAGCTTTTGAACAAATAAATTTTTGAATTTCTCCAAAAAAAATGGCTGAAAACTTTTCTGTTGTTATATCCTTAGTATATAACCTATAATTATGATATTATATGTTTTACTGCGCAAATTGCAGAGCAAAAATTGGAGGACAAGTTATAACTTGGAAATAATCATACTCAGTGGTGAAGCCACAATGGTAGGTATGAACTCCATAAAATTCAATAGATTTGATTAAAAATTTATTTAAAATGCAAAAATAATATATTTAAAAATCAATAATAAGAAAATTATGATCCAAATCCATTAACTTAACATCATAGTTGTGCCTCGACTCACATTATAGGTCCTTAAGATATAATAATGTAAATATTATTTCAATTTTATATTTAGATATTATCGAATTTTATAATTCAAAAGTGTAAAGTTTTAAAGATTGAAATAAATCCACGTTTGCATATCATTATTCTTGAGAAACACCATACCCATATCATCAAGACTGTTTGTAGTAAAGATAAAATTATGACTTGATAGTAGTACATACAATCCTTAGATTGAATTGACATATTCTAGCTATATAAATATATTTAGCAAATAAAATCTTAAAATGATTAGTATTTAATAGTAGTACGTTGTATTCTGCACAAAAATAGGAGAGATAATTTCTATTCATAGCTATCACTCTTTTTTAATTATTTATCATTTATAATAGTAAAAGATATTTATCATCATCTCTCTCTTCTAACTTCCAACTATAAGTATATCTCTCCATAAAATTAGTAAAAGATATTTAATTATGACTATAGCTTATTTTAAAGGTATTACTACAAATCCACCATCTACAAATTATTTTTTCAACTGTTTGCTAAAAGTTATGGTGAGAAACTCAATCTATATCTATATCTATCTATTTATCTATATTATTCATTTAAAAGCATGAACTCCTAACTTAAATGTTAAATTACTATTTATATTCCCCAAAACTTTAGGTTGTTGACTTTTTCGATGAGTTGTGACTTTTCTGATAAGTTGTGACTTTTTTCGAAGGGTTGTGATTGGCACTACCGAAAGGCCATCAATTTGTATAATATATACATTAGTTATCATGTTCCAAATTCCAATATATAAAGTTAACATGATGTAGTCTAAATTCATTTTTTTTAAACAATTTCTCATATGATGTAAATATCATCCTATCAATGAAGTATCATCAACAACAATATTGCATTAACGAGAAAGTCATCATCATTATCGCATCATATCAAATTCATAATCTACTGTGTCAAAATCGACGGAGGTTGACGTCAGAACATTTAGAGAAAAGAAATGTGTTGAATACGGTGCGGACGACATCAAATAGGATGTAGCACAACGTGGAACTTTTTCTTAGCAGCGAACTGGGACAAAGTCCGAAAAGGAGTATCAGACTCTTAGGACGCGAGCTGAGGAGAGACTTCCATCACAATCAAACCACAGCCCTATTAGAAGTCATGTGGGTTTTTATTTGGGTTTATCCATTTCTGTTTTGCATCCAATTTTTTTTCATTTTTACCGGAGGTAACTTTCCAATCTGAGTTACATACACCAAGAGCTTTGGAAATTATGTCCATATAAGTTCTTAATTGTGGGTGTGAAGTGCACCAGATTCATGGCTAAGAGGTTGCAAGCCTCTTTTTCATACTCTACTTACTTGTTACTCTTCCAGAACCGAAGGTTATCTAGCATAATAGATTTCCTCTTCAACCGAACGAGTCGAACTACAAACAGCCTGGTTCTTAAGGTCAAAGAATATGTAGGCGGACTCAATATTGAAAACTCAGATGTATTCCGACATTCTCTCTTAAATCTTAATCTCGAGTATTTCGGTCTCTTCATTATTCGATATAGGGATAGCTTTCGAATTATTTCATAATTGTGCGTCAACTCAAGCATATCGAACTACAAGTGGCCTAAATTCTCATATAGCCTGAGATATGTAGGAAATCTGATTTCGGGGTTCGGCCATAATTCCTAAAATCCGTACCAAAATCCCTTTCTGGAAGGATGAAGATGTGGTCGGTCAAAAATTGGATTTGTCAATTTCATTTGCCTTGAATTTCTTTCATCAACCAAGTCAAAAGAGGGACATCTGTTAACACCCAATTTTTACCCTCCACAATATAAATTAATCATCGA